GCAGAAAAGGAAACTTTCTAAAGATGCTGATATCCTCCAGCATATACTAGATGAACTTCAGATAATTCATAATAAATTAGATAAATCAAAGTGGAATTTCAATCTGAGCTTAAAGATAGAGCTCGAGAGCCAAAAGGCTACACTATATACTTGAGAAGCGACAATGGAAGTTTGATCGTTTGCTTGCAGAAAAGAAAGCTATATCTAAACAAATTGAACAAGAAAGGAACAATACAGAACATGAAACCAGAGAAAAAGAAGCTAAGGTATTATACCTCACTTGAGATCTTGAAGAAAGAGAACAACATACAGAAGAACTTGAAAATTAACTGCAACTGACAGATGATTCCAAACTGAGATTAGAGGTCCATATGCAGGCACTTATAATACAATTTTATTGAGATTTACAAGCTAGAGATGAACAAAGTAATGCAAAGAGAAAATCTCTCATTAAGCAGACTCATGATCTTGAAGAAGAATTTGAATATGAACATAAACTATGTGCTGCGGCTATTACTGCAAGGAAAAAGTTAAAGAGTGATTATAAAGATATGGAACAAGAGTTAGAAATTGGCAATAAAGTTAACGAAGATTCTCAGAGGCAATTAAAAAAATTACAGGCTCAAATGAAAGATTATCAATGAGACGTTGAAGAATCCTGATTACCTAAGGAAGAATTCACTTTAGAAGCCAAAAAAGCTGAGAAAAACCAAAAAACACTGGAAGCAGAAATAATTCAACTTAAAGAAGATTTGGCCAGTTCTGAAACAGTTAGAAGGTTTTGGAATTTGAGAGAGATAATTTACAAGTGGAGTTAAATATAGCACCTAATTTGAAACCAGAATGCAAATCCATCCAAAAGTTTTAGCACATTACAAAGTCACAAGTATCAAGACACATGACCACTATAAATTAGAGAAATATGGAATACATGAAGGCCCTAATAAAACTTCCACTGTTGCTGATATGATGAAACCGTAGTGAACTTCACAGTGAAATCTTTATTTAGAACTATGTACCATACAAATGGATACCTGATACTTACTACTTCTGTTCTCCGATTCATGATTCCCCCCCCTTTGTATGATTTGTCCTCCTTTTTAGTTAGTTACATTTTCATTCTATTCATAATATATATATATATATATATATAAGATATAACAAAATATGATGGTTGCTTTAAGAGTAACTGGCAATGTCAAAATTAACTATTCTAGATTTGGTGTTCTCCCCCCTAAATTCATCTTTCTCCCAAATTCGAGATCCTTCCATGTTACATAACAACCTAAAATTAACAAATCACAGATTAGCTGTACTTATGCATCAGACTTAATATAAATATTCTTGGCACAATAACTACGTCATTCTTCCCTTCCATAACTTTTGCTCTGCCAACACTGCACTGCTTTGCTTAAATGCTCGTCTTACTTTTAAAGCCAGTGTATATAAAAATTATTGTATGTCATTATAATTGGATAAATGTCTTCTAAGATGGTTTTATATGCGTGAAAATAAAGATTGTAATACTTCAAGTTTCGTTGTGTTAACTGCATCATTATAGCTTTTACCTTCAGCCACTACTGTCTTCTTAGCCGTGACGAATATCGAAAGCTGTTAAAGGATACGAATCCTCCTACGCATTAAATTATCAGACACACATATATATATGTAAAATAAAAAATTTAGAACCAATTATTCACAAAGACCAAAATTTGAAATTCATAAGTAATAAATTTCAAGTAATCCTATAAATGCAATAAAGAAATAAAACAAAAGTATAAACTCCTCTCAACTGATAAAGTGCTAAATACTCTTGTATTTTCACCTATCCCAATTCACATGCCCAGTGCAGTTTTTATGGCAAATACAACTTTCTATATAAACATTTGCATCACACTGGTGTAGTTGCTGGTGATGTCTGTCGGGTGAAACCATAGACTTTCTTCATTTGACAACTTGCACTGCACTTGATTTTATGACTTTTAATTCTGAGAACTTTACCAAGTCTCAATTTTATTGGGCTGCCAAGAGTCTCATGGCAGATATCGCTACAGACTGATGTGGGGGGGGGAATCTTTGGCAGGAGGACCTGTTGCATAAGGATGCTCATATTTGCATATCAGCAGTACAACAGCATAACACCACTGGAGAGAGAACGAGGCAAGAGAATGATGGGATAGAAGGTGAGTGTGCACTTCAATTAAGAAGTAGGATGCCGCGAAAGAAAGACGATGACATAAAAACATAGTACCTCCATTGTCATGTTTTATCTGTTATTACTTCCCTGTAAACAATCATAGCCATCAGTGAACATCATAAATAGCTCAATTAAATAATCTAGTAATGAAGATTAGTCTCTTTTTGTCATCTAATCCCCTACAAAACAAGCCACAGACAGGGTTTATCTGGGAAGTAGCAGGAGTGATTTCTGCCTGCCAAAACATGGTGAAAGAAGGCGATATTGCTGTGCTGGTTGAGTTGTGGGAGACCTTAGCTACCAGTGCACCAGTCACCTCCAAGCCTTCACTGAGTGCAGTTCAAGTTTAAAGCGAACCCCTTTCAAGGTGCCTTGTCATTTCCACAATTAATTGTTTGTTAAAGCAGCATTATGTGATGAAGTTTTGTATCAAACTGGGCAAAACTGTGAGTGAGACCCATGACACAATCAAGACTGCTTATAGGAGTGATGCCATGGATCGATCAAGTGTTTTTGAGTGGCACGAATTGTTTCAGGAGGAAAGACAGCAAGTTGAAGATAAGCAATGGTCAGGAAAAAAAAGTTACAAAACAAAAAGTTACAAAAACTTAGTGAAAGAGCAAAATCTTTTGAACTCAGACTGCAGACTGTGTGGACGATATCGGAACAATTAAAACTTGCCCAAAACTACTGCGCATGAAATTATAACCGAAAACTTCAAAATGAGAAAAGTTTGTGCAGCTGAAAGTTATGAATGAATGAACCAATGAACGAAAAAGGAAGACTCCTTGCAATTTGTCAAGAATTTCTTGATTGTGTTTGTGATGATCCAAATTTTTTCGATAATGTTATCACCGGAGAAGAGCTGCGGATTTTTTTTTTAGTACCACCCCAGGACAAAGCAGCAAAACTCTGAATGGCACACCCCCACCTTATATTGCACAAAAAAAGCCTGATGAGCAAGTTGAAAAAGAAACTAATGTTGATCTTTTTTTTACTGCAAATATGTGCCATTATAATAATGCACTGAGCCACACTGCCTTTGCTGTCATAGACTTCCTGACCAAACATGGAATCACACAGCTTCCCTGGACACCCTACAGCCCAGATGTAGCTCCTTCAGACTTCTTCCTCTTCCCTCCGACTGAAAAAGGTCATGAATGGATGGCATCATGGCTTGATCCAGGGCATTCAAGAGGCCGTAACAAGGAAGCTGAAGAGAATTCTAATTTTTGTATTCCAGGGAGCCGTAAACGATTGACAGAGTCAGTGAAAAGGCTATATTGATGCAGAAAGGGCATCTTTTGAAAACTAAGTCGATGTGTCAAAATTCTTAATAAATTTTTTTTAAGAAACTTTGCATTACACCATTCTACTACATTGAATTATACCGTTCTAATACTTTCTGGACAAACCTCGTACATACACTCAAAATAAATTTTACCCTAGAAGATGTCAAACATGTAAACATATTTTCAAGTATGTATATTTTATATATATGCTTTTAAGTACACATAAACAGTATTTTTTTGCTTTTTGATCTCCCAAAAATTAATTTATTTGTCCTCTTCTTTTTAGATAAGAAACAAGAAGAGTTTTTTTCCCCTGAAATGATAACATAACCTGTTTCTCTCTCTAGTATAATCCATTTTGGGACTATGTCCGAAGTAATTTCATTTATTAATTTTTTCATTTTGCATTGTGATACAATATGCTAGAAATAAAATATCAAATAGATTGAAAAGATGCTAAATGTAGTAAATTTAATTTAAAATGCTTAAAAGCTTTATTACTTTTCTTCAGTCTTTCTTCTTTAGTAATGAAAGTACTGAAACTTTTATGGTTACTTTAACACGTTCCCTGCCGCGTGGGGCGCCACGCTTGACGTTCAAGCCATTTGGTATTATCATTGTAAAATGAAGAATTTTTTTAAAATTCATTATGCAGTCAATTATGGGCATCTTAATACTACTGCTGATGCCCTCATTTAAAACCGTACAATATACGTACGATAAAAAAAATTATATGTGAGGATGGAGCTTGCTTGGCATAGTAATGTTCAGCCAGGTATTTATTAAACTAATTCCTAGAAAAATAAATTTATTGGTTTGTTGTGTTATGCGTGTTAAACTATACAACTTTTCCTTGATAATTATGATTTTTGCGCTATTTTAGTAAGGCATACGCCAGAAACAAAATAATACAAATGTAAAGTGTGGCGCGCATACGCCCCACGCAGCCTGAATGGGAAATCTTAAAAAAACGGTCTGGCAGGAAACGTGTTAAAGAATAAAGTAATTAAGCCTTTTTTAATTTGAAAAGAATTATTATTTCAAAACTATTGCTTTTAGCAGTTTTCTATATATTACACCTCACAAAAAAATTTTCCCTTTAGGTAAAATTTTTGACCACAACACTACATCAGTGAACAATACATCTTGTTTCATCTGAAATGGGAAAAGTTAGAAAAACAGAATAATAATAAATAAGGCTGCAATAAACCACAGACAACTAGAAACTTGAATGCAGAAATAGGAAATTCCAAGGTGTGACTGTGCATTTTAATGATCCTAATGAGGCACTTTTCTGGTGCAATGCATATTCTAATAAGGCATTTTTCCTATGTAAAGACATACTACTGCACAATAAATAGCATTGCTAATATGCACAGATCCAATTCTAGAAAATCTGTATACTTTACAATAAAAGTTTTAATTTCATATATTTTTATCACTTATTATAATAATAGATTAAATGCATGAAAATTTCTTTAATCACTTCATAAAAAGTTAATAACATTTACCCCTAATTTCCGAGAAATGTGAATACGGTATAACCTTCCACCAACAGGATAAATCACAATGAGAACATCACAAAATTCAGTAGCAATAATTTCTTTACGATAATCTCTGGTATGTTCTGACCAAACAATGTGCACTTCATCATTTCCTAAATGGCGTACCTAAATTATAGGAATTAGAAAATGGTTATTATCACTTTAACAGTTTTATTGCTTCTTACATTCGCATTTTGTAAGAATTAAAACTGAAAGATTTTTTGCTTAAGTTAGTACAAATACAAGAAAGAAAAATATGCCCTATGGTTCAAATATTTAATTACATATCATTAAGATAAAAAAATCTGCTTTAATCTAAAGATTGACCCTACCTTTCTTTATGCATCCAATTTTTTTTAACTGCACTGTTAAATACCACATTCTAAACAATATTATACAGATCCCACATAAAAACTTTTAACTGTTAAAAATTATACAAAGATACATAAAGGTTATTGATATCTAAATTAATGCTCCAATTAATGATTTTCTAATGATGTGATTTATATTATGTTTCAGAAAAATAATAGAAAATAACTAACTAGACCTTTCTACTTTGATGCAAAACCCAGAATGAAGATCAGTCAGTGTGGTTGTTAGTTTTTCTTGGCATATTTTCTCACACAATCAAACTTTTCTGCAAATGTATACCATATACTATTAATGTTTGTAAATTAGCCCATGAGGTCAAACACTTAATATTTTGAAATATACATAATTCTTCCCAGATTCTATTACCAACAGTTGAATGAGCTGCCTAAATATGGTTTCATAGCTTTCCTCGTATATCTAAAATAAATCGACTAATCTAAAATACTAATATTTATTTCATAATTTAAACAAAAATAAACTAGACCACCAATTGGACTCTGTATGGACTCAAAAGGGTCTTTTGCAACACCACCATATAGCCCTGATATCAATCTTTCAGACTTCTGCCATTTTTCACACCTGCAGTTATATTTTGCTGGTGCTATCTTCCATTCTGCACAGGACGTGCGAAATGAGGATAACCTGCTTTTGGACTTGCAGACACCAAGTTTCTGGGCTGAAGGCTTTGAAAAACTACCAAAATGTTGACAAAAAAATAGATTTGGTTGATGATTACTAAACGCACTAAAGGCACTACTTTCATTTTTCCCCCCTTAACTTTGTTCAGAACATTTTCTGGTGGAAAACTTTCATTACAACCAGATATATACATATATATATAGAATTTTTAAAAAATGAAATAAAACAATATGATCATTTTAAGTATTTTCATGAAGCTGCTGAAACATTATCAGTAAAGACATAAAGTAAGAAACTGAGAACCAATTTTACACAAAGAACAAAAACAGAAATTCATAAGTACAGTCAAAAGTCATTAATCCGGACTCGTCGGGACTTCGGCGATTCCGGATTATAGATCATCAGTTCAAATCTGGTAAGATGGCATGCAGAAATTACAAAATTAAAAATATGAAACCGTAATTTATGAAATAAAGAACAATTATGATCTAAAGGGTATCAAAATTTACAAAAAGAAAAAGCTTAATATTTATTGTTTACTTTATTATTAACATTTCTTTCAATGTAAGTTGCTTTTCGTTTCATGATTATGATAATACTTTCTTTCTCTTAATTTTTTATTAACAGACATAATTTCATGTTTAGTTACAAAGTTCCACTGTTAAAAGTCCTATAATTCCTGTGTTCAAGAATACCAACTAATTTGTCAATCGAAATGTTTTCCGTTTTCAAAAACCTCTGGGTCACTTTCTTCACTATCGTAAGCGAATTATAATGAACGAGGAATTTGATTTAAATTCATATCAAAGACGGAATACATCCATGATGAAATGCTACATTTAGTAAGGAATTATAAGCCAAATTAAAATAAAAACATCTGCATTGAAGATAAGGATAGTGCTGACAGATCAACTTCCAATCCACAGCGTGAAATTGATAAACAGATTTCGGATTTCAAAACATACTTTCGCTTTGTAGATACAAATTACATATTAGTAAATATATATCGGAAATTCTATTTGACATAATCGAAAGTTTAAGCTTACTTTTATGAAATTGCTCTAACAGTCTGCAAAAAATAATAAGCTGAATCCAATTTGAAGATTAAGGAACAACGCAATCTGCAACATTAACTGAATTAGATAATTTTAGCTTAGCTTATACCTCTGTTACACATTAAACACGCATGCGCAGAAAGTTTGTAGCTTTGAGGTCCAGATTATAGATCATTCCGGATTATGGGTGTCTGAATTAACGACTTTTGACTGTAATAAGTAAGTCCTCCTGATGAAGTGGCATTGAAGTTGATTAAATTCCTCTTCTTTCAAATTCTTTTTGTTCATTAATTTTTTGAATTTGGGTTTTACTTGTTTGAAATATTTTAGTTTTAACATTTATTAAATTCTTTTTTACATTTATAGGATTTTTTGAAATTTGTTACTTATAAATTTCAGTTTTTGGTCTTTGTGTAAAATTGGTTCTAAGTTTCTTACTTTATGTCTTTACTGGTATTTTGGATAGAGTTTTCTTTGTATCAAGGTTAAATTTTGATATGAATTTACTTTGTTTTTCCCTTGCTTTGGGAAAGGGCCAGAATTTTTGGGTAAACTATTATAAATAAAATACATTGGAATAGTTCATCAGCTGATTTTGGAAACAGAAAGAGTGGATTTTTTAAAATTTACTACTTATGAATTTCAAGTTTTGGTCTTTGTGTAAAATTGGTTCTAAATTTCTTTCTTTATACATTTACTGACAATTTTTCAGCAGCTTAACACATTCACACCGGGGCAATTTTTATATTCTTTGCCGTGAGACAGCGCTCTAATTTTTCCCGCGTTTCATCTGGCGGCACGCAATTATTACCTGTCCAAACCTGTATACGAGTTGTACATTTGCTAATAGTTATTAATTATAATTGTTATTAAAAACGTTTTTATAATAAATAAATGTTAAGTTTTCATCATTTTAATTTTCAGCATCTAATAACACAATCGAATGCATACCATCAGTGGCACACGCGGCCCGATAAGAGAGACTAGTAAGGGACACTGGTGGCCCGTGCCAGTGTGAACGTGTTAATGCATGAAAATAGTAGGCATGATTACATTACGTTAATAACAAAATTGTTTTGTAATTAACATAACTCAAAAACAATTAGCCATAGAATGTTGAAATTTTGTATATGGAACTGCTATATTATCTAGATGTGCACTTTTCTTTTTTGCTGCAATTGACAGAGTATGTGTATATGTATATAACATGCATATCTACCACCTCACCTGGCTTATATATCATTACCTGACCTTTATTTCTGCAATCATAACTTGTAGTCGTATGTTCCCATTACAGAAGTGCTTTAAGCGATGAAAAATGTTTTGTCAAAGCCAAATTTAGAAAAAATAATTTTTGACATATAACAAAATTTAACTTTTCATGTGGTCTCCCAGTTCCTATACTTATATTTGGGAAAGTTTTATATTCATGGAAAAATAAATTATAAGAAGTTTGGCTGTCACATGACAAAAACTGATCAAGATATTTAATTTAGAATTAAGCCATGCGGTGTCCACATCAAATTTTTTAACTCTTAATCTCCAGATGTGATGAAAACCATCATCAAAAAATTTAGCTCATGGAAGCATTGTTTTTTTTGGGGGGGCAGGAGGTGTAAATTTATTAGGGGCCCTCGAAATTTTTTTGCATAATGGTCTAACTTTTCTAGTTACGCCACTGAATGTACCATAATTATTTAGAATATCAGTCATTCTATAATGAAAATGAAAACATGAATCAATAATTGAACTTTTTTTTACTATTGATGAGAAATAGGTCTCTACTCAAACACTAAGCATTCTTGATATAGTGTTTACTATAGTAAAATAATAAACCTAAAATTATTTTAAACTGAATTAATATATACATTAATACATACTAAATTTAAAACAAAAATTAAGCCTCAGTGTCAAAAGGTTCAATACATTAGTGCTCTCATCAACATGTAGAGGGGAAAAATTGATTATTCTTTGTTGTCATTTACTGTTGATTCATAACCATCAGATATGTCCTTCTTTCTCCAAAAAACCGTGTTCTTTGAGAAGAGAATGTTGTTAATTTATCGAATATGTTCTTCTATTAACATGTATTTAGCAGCAATTGTATGATTTATACCACTTTATGTGATATGATAACTTATTCTGTACAATGCTTCAAGCGCATTTTTGTTTAGCCGACCAACTGGGATAGTGGTTAGCGACGGTGACTGCCTTACCAAAAAGCCTGGGTTCGAATCCCAAAGAAGGCAAGGATGTTTGTAAATGCATAGTTCCTGTGCAGCATGAGGGAGCCTTAAACATGTGGTGAGCCGAAAATCCTCTCGAGAGGTTCGTGTAGGGAAAGAGGGGTGGGAGACCCTCGGACCTGTCCCACTCAGGTGCTCCCCATCAAAATTGGGGGTGAAACTGAGCAAAGTCATACTGTCACCTGTATTGTGCTAAAAGCTCTTCCAAACGACAGATGCACTCTTGCTCTCCTTCCCACGATGCATTTTGTAGGCTTGTTCTGATGTTACTGTCAGACAGTGAGATAAGTCGTCAGAATAAGAATAACACAGTTTTGTCATCTATGCAAGTTGATAATATACAAAATTTTACATTGTTTTTTAAGCCCTCACTGGGAAAAAAATATCAATTTTTGTTTGTTATTGGAGTGTTTGGTTTCTAAATGATGAAGGTTTCATACTTCCATCTGATGAAACTTCCTTAGAAGATCATGAAGTGGATTGGAGGAGTCTTCTTCTTTTATGATTGAATTTATATTTATACACTGATCAGAATATTTTCTTTACTTCTAAGGACAGCTGTTTAGAAATTTTTTACATCTAGTCAGCCTATCTCTTACTATGATAATAATTTCATCTCAGCTCAACCTGTTCGTTTGAAATGCTTGCTCAAATAGCAAACCATAGCTATTATCCATTGCAGTAGTTCTGAGTGAAAAATCTATGTTTTAACCTCTTATCCATTTTTATTTAAACACACCTTAACATTTAACAGCTCTAAAAGAACTGTAAAACTAACTGTACAAAAATTTAGCTATGCACTTCTGTGATGATTCACTCAATGCTAAAACTCTATTGGCTGCTAATCATTTTACACGACTCATTATGACAAGACAGGAAAGGTAGCTACTACATACAATGTGTAAGTAATGAAGTAACATAAATGGTCAGAGCAGGGCTAGTTACAATAAATTACATTGTTTTTGCATAAATTTTGGGCAGTGATGATCACATTGGAATTACTAGCAATTACCTTCAATTTTATTTAATTAAAATTAACTAGCAATTACCTTCCATTTTATTTAATTAAAATTTAAAAGTTCTAAATTTTTAACAGTATTCATTACAATATATTGTTTTCCATCATTATTGTTAATTTTTCACATTATAAACTGTCACATACCTCAAAGAGATATTACAGGTTGGGAACACTGCCATAAGAAATCAAAGATGATATGTAGATCGCAAACTACTCATTTCTGAACAACAAACTATTCATCTTTAATTTTAGATAACATTAAATTTGAGACAAAAATTCATCTTAACAGCTTTTACCACCACTACTGATAAGGTTTCAAACCTTTTTATGGATAGCATCTGCTTCAATTGTAGACATCCTAGTGGAAACATGAAATATAACTTCTGTGAAAGGAGTTGCATAGTACGGTGCTGTTTCACCCGTGCTTTTATTCCTTTGTAAACCTCCAAGAAAACCTGCATGATTTTCTAAATCTACCTATTGGAAAAAAAAAAAAAAAAGGAAATTCTTCTCAGTTAAATACATACATTCAAAAGCTTATTTATGTAACAACACACTTAAATGCATTACAGACAATGTTTAATGATAATGTAGATTTTTTTAACATGAGGAAAAAAGAAACTAATTCTAAATGACATAAATGAAGTATTGTTAAAAATCCATAATATAGTAAAGTAAATAAATAATACTGCATTCAAACTCATGATACATTGGTCCATTAATGATTATCTTCATCCAAATCTATCAAGTGTATGACTTTGTAATGTTAATTTTATAAAATGGCCAAATATAACACTTAAATAAGTGAAAAAAATAGTCAAATGCGAACAAAAGGTTCTGTAGAAAATAAAAGAAATTTTCAAAAATTGTTTTTAAGTTTCAGTTATAGTTCAATGCATGAAAAAGTTTTCAAAAAAAAAAAAAATAGCTAATATGGTGATATGCGACTAAAAATGAAATGACAGATTTTAAATTGTCAAAAGGAAATTTAAATGAAATGAATGTAATCATACTTCTACATATCATTTTTGTATTATCACTTCTATTGAAATTCATATATGGCTGCCTCCCCGACTGCATTTTTAGTTTTCTTTTACCATTACGATGGCTAAAAATTTTATTTAATGCATCATTTAAACAAAACCATGTAACTAAGAAAACATTTACCTGATTTTTTTCCTTACTTTTTACTCTACAGAATGTGAAAAGTAATAAAGTAAAAAAAAATCACTGCCCTTGAACGTATGAAAGTTAGTCTTCTTAATTAATGCAGCAATAAAATAAGAGAGGCCATATCTCCCTCCAAGATCTTGTGATCCACCGAATGGCACATTTAATTTTTAATTTATTTAAATTCTTATTTTATTTAGACTGATCTCATCATCATTTAAAAAATGGGGCTGCTAACAATGAAGGATTAAATTTTTTGATTAAAAAATTCGTTATTGTTAGCAATAGCATAATAGTTAAAAATCTATAAATTTTTTAAAAATTACCAAAATTAGGCACTTTATGTTAGAAGTTCCAAAAAACTTTCAGTTGGAAGATTTTTTACACCAATACAATTAGTAGCTCCCCCAAAAAAGAAAAGGAAGCAGGGGGGAAAAGAAAATTTTGCAATGATCAGTTTAACCGTTAAACAAGTATATCTGAGGATGGTGGTTTGGTAAAACCATCGAAACTAGTCCTGTGAAAATTTTGTAAATATAACACTGATTTTTGTTGTTTGACTCCTGAATTAGTATAGATGATCAATTTAAATCTGGTAAGATGGCATGCAGAAATTATACAATTAAAAATATGAAATCGTAATTTATGATAAAGAGTAATTGTGATCTAAAGGGAATCAAATTAAAAAAAAAGTGCTTAATATTTATTTGTTTACTTTATTAAACATTTCTTTCAACACGAGCATGCGTAAAGCATACATTACGCATAGTCAAAATTAGAAAATTGCAACCAGAAAACTATTTTCTGCGTATTCGTGATATTTATGATGACGAGGAAATTGATTTAAATCATATTGGAGTACATCGAGATGAAACATTACATTTAGTAAGGAATTATAAGCCGAATAAAATAAAAACATCTGCCCTGAAGATGAGGATAGTGCTGACAGATCAACTTCCAGTTCATTGGGTGCTGTAACGTCACCCCCCCCCCTGCAGAGCATTGTGAAACATATTTTGCAATGGTTAGAGAAACAAATCACCTCTCTGACTGACTGACTGACTGATTAATTTATTGCTGAACTACAACACAGTGTGCAGTTTTTTCGACTCAATCAAATTTGCCACATGGGCACAACACATGGTACTATTAGCCTGTGGTACCCAGAGGGAGCGGAAGAGGTGGAAAAAAGGGAAAGACCGGAGAAATCGCACGATCATGGACAGCAAGTGGAACGTCCTAAGTTAATTGAAGAAAAAGCACGTCTTAAAGTAACAGTACAATACAAATACAGAAAGAGTAAAAATATAACAGAAAAATATATACAATATGTACACTATATACAGGATATTGCACTATATTGCACACTACTAATCATTAAGTAGAATAACCTCTCTGTCACTTTCTTCATGCCTTTATCCATTTTTTGCAGCAATTCCACTTTTTGTTTAATGGGCATCGAAACATGCTTTCGCTTTGTAGATCCTTTGGCAGATCCAGAATTGGAAATTCTATTTGACATAATCAAAAGTTCAAGCTTACTTTTATAAAATTGCTCTAACAGTCTGCAAAAAATAATAAGCCGGACCCAATTTGAAGATTAAGGAACAACGCAATCTGCAACATTAACTGAAATAGATAATTTTAGCTTAGCTTATACTATCCGTTATACATTAAAAGCGGATGCGTAAATGCATTATGCGTTTACACATGGGCAGAAAGTCGTAGCTTTGAGGTCCGGATTATGGACATCCGGATTAAAGACTTTTGACTTTATATATATATATATCAGGGGTGTTTGTGGGACCCCAAAAAATCCCCTGAAACCTTTACGGACTTACTTTTACCGACATCTTGGAGTTTCAAGAAGGGGGGGGAGAGATATGAAAAATTACAATTATGAAGTATTGAATGACCTAATTATAAAAGTTCAATGAATTACTTTTTTTGCAAAATTAATAACCATAAATTTTCAAACATATAAACTACTACATTTTATGTAAATATTTTAAATTACCTGAATTAATTCTTTAAAACAAATTACCTAATTTCTGCTGCTTTTTTTTATTTTCTGATGTTTGTGGGCTTGTCTTTCTTTTGTGGTGAACTTCATAATTGCAAAAAGGTTGACTTTTATTTTCATCATTTAAAGTTGAAGAAATTTCCTCGAGAACTGCACATGCAGAGGTAGAAGCAGTTTGCTTTTCTGCTAATGTAGAAGGTTTTTCAGAGACTTTTATAGGTGACTTATCTGAAATACATGTTTTTAAGTCCTCTTGATATGCTTTCCAACTTCTGTTCATATTGAGTAAGAGATCTTTGTGAATTGGATCAGTCATTGGAATTTTTGAGCCATATTTTTCACATGAGGTTTCTTTAGAAGCCATTAAATCATATTTAATAGTCTGCACTGCATCTAGGGAATCAATCTTAAGAGAGGTTCTATAGTCAGTGACAAGTGTATCCATTAAGTTGAATGCACTTTCCACTAATGGGCCATGAAAGCAGCTAAGGCAGGCTTTGACCAATTTATCCAATGTAGGATACTTATAATCATTTGTGAAATCATCTTTTAAATTAAAAACTTTAGACCAATATTTATCAATTGTACACTTGACTTGATTTCCACTTTCATCAGATGTGTAGAGCATTTCTTTGGTGATATCAATATCACTCTAGTATAAATTATTTCAGCTTCTACTTTTGACTTTTCATTATCACTAAAAATATGGGACATAAAAGATGATAATTTTTCAAAAGCTAATATTGTACTGGTTTTACCTCTTAGCTCTGGATCTAATGCTGTAAAACTAATTAGATATGAATTTTTAAGGGGTAATTTCTGTTTCATATGCTGTGCTGTATTAGTATAAGCTTTCATCAGAGAAATTTGGAATTCTTTTGCTATTGGATGATTTTTTGATAATTTCTTCAGGAGAGTGGAAGCTTCTGCACCAGTAAATATTACTTTGCTAGGTAGATGGAATTCTGGATTTGTGACATCAACCTTTAATAAATCATTATAAGATGTGCACTCTATATTTTCTGGCTTCATCATAAAAAAAGAGAAAAATTTTGCCACCAATTTATAAATACTGGAATGTATTAAATGAAGCATTGGTTTTTTTTTTGTTTCAAATAATTTAATATATGTGTTGAACTCTGGTAATACTGCTGAATATAATGCCATATGCAATAAAGTTTTGTTTTGCATAACAAATAACCCATTTAGTATTCTTTTTTTTCCGAGCTAAAGCATCCTTTGTGAGTTGTTGGGAATGCAAGCAAGAATACACCCCTTCAACAATTTTTTTCTGAGCTGCAGAAATATTTCTTTTATTGTATACAGTTTCAACATAAGAAAAATAATCCCCTTTATCAGTTTTATCCAAGTAGTGAAAATAAAATGCAATAAGAGCATCCCACAGATCTTTGATTCTTTCTAAAACACATAAAATGTACACCCACCTATGGTCTGGTCTCTTCAAGGGCTTAAGTTTTTTAATGGCAAGGGATTCACAGATTTTGAAAAAATTTTCTCTTTTACTGCAGCTTTTCATATCAAAATAGATGTCATCAAACAAATCTTCTAAGTATCTATCAAAACATGAAGCAAATTTTTTTGCACAGTTATTAGCTGTGTGACATGTGTCACCATCAATATCTAATAAGTGGGGTGCTTTGTTTAGTCTGGTTTCAACACCTTTTTTTTTTCCACGCACGGTGTTACACGAGTTCATTAATACACTAATTAAGTTTGCCCATGGAATATTATTATCTTCAATAGTATTAACAACTGCTTTAAAAACAGCTTCTGAATTGCAAGATTCCATCATCTTTAGAGATGCAAAAATGATGAACTACAACTTCATTTTGATTGTTGTCATAAAACTGCACCAATATTGCCAGTATACTTTCTTGAGCATTGCTAGTACTTTCATCCAAATTTAGAGAAAGTGGAGTGTCTCCTTTAAAGTTTTAATGATATTTTCCTTAATAGTTTTTGCGAGCGCATATTTCATCTTATAACATGCAGTAGTCCTGGACATTTCCAACAAGTTTAGTGTCGTCTGATCGCGGCTCAACTGTTTGCAGAGTTCAATTAAATTGGGAGCTACATTGAAAGTAAGAGAATTCTCGGCGATAAACGAAGTTATTAATACCTCTTGGCGTGCTTTTCTTGTCACTATATCTAATGGCCGAGCATCAGTCTCCAGTAAGTCATCAGTATTTTTTGAATTAGCATAATTACTCAAACTCATTGAATGTCTAATGCACTTTGAATATTTTATGTGCGTCACAGTTTTAGAATGATTTGTGAAAGCCTTGAATCCTTCCCCACCATACTTCAGCAGTGAGTTACAAAAAACACAATATGCTTGTCCAACAACATTTATTTTCTTGCACCATGTGCCGATGGTATCCCCATTACCATCTCTCCGTTCAATCCAATTCCACCTAAATGCATTCCGGACACCTTCTTTTAATTGTATAATATCACTATTTATATCAGAAATTCATAGTGAAATTCTCTTGCGTACATAAATAAAAAAATATTTCAATAAACGAAACGAAAAATTTACACGTGCATCAATAAATGAAACGAAAATTTTACACAGCGGAGAAAAAAAAGTTGAGAAGCGATCAATGACAAATAGCTAATACGGCGAAAAATCCCCCTTCTCTACTTATTGGCGCCACACCAGGAGAGATAAGACCTTTGAACCCAGAGTCACGTGATCGCACATCTGGTCGAACGAAGTCTCTCCCTTTTTTTTCTGCCGCGCCTACTTGCCGAAAAGAATCCAGAAAAGAATGTCCGAGAACCGGGGGAATGAGTCATAACTTGCAATAAGGAAAGAACAAAAACAAAGTTTTTTCCCCCTTTTCACGCATTATCACTGCCTTTGGTGAATGAAAGGAAAAGTTTTCACCACATACACTGACCTTGCGTTTTCTGCTTTCAAAGCAAACAAAATTACCCAGATCAAAATAAATAATTCATTATTATTCCTACTTCCTTTTGAACGACGATCCCCGGAATTTCCGGGTATCGAAGTTCAAAATCCCTGGAATTCCAGGGTTTTCCCGGATCACAAACACCCCTGATATATACAAATTATTTATTATTTGTATCAGATTTCGAAAAAATTCACAATAATATCGTATTGTCATCAATATGCATGTGTGCAAGAAAAATTGAAAAAAACTGGGTTGAAAGAAAGGATGAGATATAAATTCCATGTTTTGATGCAAACAAGGAAAGTAAATTAAATAAAAAATGTATTAAAAAAAATTAAGGAGAATCTTACGGGGGGGGGGGATCAAACACTGTATTGGCTTCCCCAAAATCAAACTACTTTGCAGATTGTTGTACTATTATAATTAGAAGAATTTCAGATATACAACATAAGATATGATTAAGAAATTTTCCTTACTTTGCATAGCAACAAAGAATATGATGCTGTACATTTACAAAAAAAAAAAAAAAAAAAAAAAAAATCACAAGATCAATGAAATTAGTTGCTTCTCTCCGATTACACTGCTTCATATTATAATGCAATACATTAAAAAAAAATTGTGAAACTTAATCTAATTAATTTTTTTTTATTTTTTTATTTTTTAAAGAGGGTAAAGGATTTTACAATCTCTGAAAATTTCAAGGTCTTATAATTGTAGATTTTGTTATGCTATGCTATGATATATATATTGAATGCATAATGATTGGAAAAAAAATTATCATATTTGGAAAAATTGCCGAAAACATGTAAATTGTTTTACAGGTCTTTCCCCCTTCCCAGTCTAAGGGAGAAAATGAAATTATGTGATTATTAGTTTAATTGCAAAGCAAAGTGTGAAACAAACATAAAGAATTACTTCAACATTAAAATAACCTCAATTAAGTTTTGAAGAAATACTTTGAGACATGAACAGACACCCTCCCTCTTTGATAAGCCTGTAAGCCAAAAAAATTCTTAGATCTTTAGATTTAGCTTATCTGAGCAATACAATACAAATGTCTTATGTACCCTCACCAGTGGCTGAGTGGTTAAGATCACTGAATATTGGAAGTCAACATAGGTTTGATTCGAGGCAAATGGGATGGCTGCATGGTTGTTTCTTGTGGTTTTCCCCATATGTAATGTGAATACAACCCAATTTCCCTAGGAAAGTTTTCTCTACAAGGGCATCCCTCCATCATGCATATATACCTTGTGTGTTTTTCTATATTCAAATAACCTAGCCTAACTTTCTGTTAAGAAAAAGGGGGTGTGATGCCAACTTCGAAAATGTTTCTGAGTAAATTCTTATGATGGTCAAAAGAATGAAATTTTTTTCTTCAATGCTAGAAAAACCGAATATGATATACATTAAAATTGAAAAAAAAAAAAAAAAAAAAAAAAAAAAAATAAAATAGCTAATACATTTTTTTCATACTATTCTTTTATCAAAAGGTTTCATAATCTATGAAATTTTGAAGAAGTTACGTACAGCAGATTTTCCAGTGCTGGAATCTTAAAATTTGGGGCACATAAAAAGCTTTTAAAATAAATCAATTTTTGAAAGATTGCCACACAAACATTCATTAAATTAATTTGGAGGTCCATAATAAATCCATTTGGAAGATTATTTTCCGCCTGCCTGTGGGTATAAAGACTGAAATTCTGTAGTTACTAAATTAAATCTGTAAAAAATTACTAAATTCACAACAAAAAATACCTAAATGAACTTTTGAAAAATAGCTTGAAAGTGCAAATAAATCTCCTGGAGAATCAGTGTGCCAAATTTTATAGCTCAGTGCTATGTAATACACCAGAGGTGCACAACACATGGCTTGCAGGCCACATGCATCCCACTGGGTGATTTTTTGCAGCCTGTCACTTGTCTTTTAATAATGCAGCTTGCACCCAGAAAAAAATATTGATTAAAACTACAAAACGTGTTTGAGTACATTTTGGTTGTTTCAAACATAATTTTTATTTGAAGGAAAAAAATTGGTTTTGTTGCAAGGACAAAAAAGTACTATTAATGCTCTGACAAAATTTCTCTAGTTGAGTTAACAAAAACTTTTTATTTATTTATTTATTTTATTTCATAATTCTTCCGTAATTCAATTTTACAATTGTAACAAAATTTTGGTGTTTTTGCAAGAGTTGGATTGTTGTGCGATTAAATGTAACTGGATATGCAATTTATGTAAACAAAAAATTTGTGCTGTAATAAAAAAGGAGGGATCCTTTAGTTGCCAAAAGAGTGATAAATGAGCTGATATCATGCTACTGCCAAAACATGTTTTCCCACTTTTCAAGTTCATTTCAACATGATTCAAGAGCTTCTTCTCTCATAGAAGTTGTGAAAGTACGTTAAACTATTTGGTACATTCTGATTATACAGTTATGAATTTTAAATTTTCCTTTTCTAATTTATATTTTGAATCATGTGCTTATTTACAATAAAGGAATTCTCTTTTCTGTTTCTTAAATGATGTAAACTTGCGAATCATTGTTTGCAATTGTGTAAATATTTATATTACAAATCAAAATCAAAATAATGCATCATTTTTCAAGTTTTTGATTAGGTCTTGGTGTATTTAATTATGGCAAAGCACACGAGGGCTACCTGCCTAAGGAAAGGGATGCCTTTGTGGAGGACTGTTTAAGGGAAACTGGCTTGTATACACGTTACACATGGGGAAAACCACGAAAACACCCATGCAGTCATCCCGTTTGCAGGATTCGAACCTCGGACCAAACTACCAGTGTTCAGCGACTTTACCACTCGCCCGCTGGTGGGTCAGTTTTTGATTCATTTTATATGTAGTTAATATGAAGTGTGTATCTTTCGGCTGGTATTTTTAAACACAGTAATAAGAGTTACTGATAAAATATTCATTCAAATATATAAAATTGGTGAAGTGCAACCTTCACCAATTTCAACATTTCTTAAATGGCCCTTCACAGATTTAAGTTGTGCAATCCTGTAATACACTAACACAAAAAAATATTATATTATTATTTTAGATGCACTTTAGAAAATGGAAGCATTATACCTCCCATCCTAATCCTGCAACAAATTCTTCAAATTCTTGACTTCCACCAGGATTGGATAAAATTGTATTTTTATCTTCCTGTCCAGGAGCTACATAAATCACAGCAATTTTATGTGTGTCACGACTGAAAAAAAAATCTATTTTAAATGAAATTATTATTACAAAAATATAATTACAGTATCATCATTCTTGTAAAATATAATTAAGGATCAAGTAACCAGTCAAAGCTTTCACCTAAAAATACATCCAAGTAGATTATGATCTGCACAGCAGTATTATTTTGAACTGAAAATCAAAGGATAGTTGGGTGCCATTACAGATTTTCCAGATTTGTACTTTTTCAACTTAAAATAGTAAACAAAGAGCTTCGGTATTACAATATTTTTTTTATATTTATGATGCTTAATTGTCTTCCCTAATGCATTATTATTTGATCAGATACTGTTAGTCTCAACTTCATAAAAATTAATTGGCTGCTAATATTTTGAACTGCAAATTTCATATAAAATAACATTAAACAATTAAGATTAATAAGATAAATATTTAATAAAATTCACTCACCATACTTGCTTATCTAAATTACGTAATTCTCTTAGTAACTGCTCATTTTTCTTCAGTAAGTCAAAATGTGACCTAAAAAGAAAATCATAAAAGTATAAAAATATAAAATTTCTTTTCAAACTTGCATTTTCAAAAAGATAGATATTTACCGCTTTTCCCAAGAAGTAAATCCCAACTGATTTAAAAGCAAACGACAATGTTGGAACAATGAAATCGCTTCACATGGTGGAGGAGGATGAATACCCTTAGCACTCATACTAGAAAATAAAATTAGAACATTTTGGATAAAATCTCAAAAGAAGTTCAATAAAAGCTCTGTTTTAAAAAGAATAAAATCATTTCATACCAACTATTAACTGAATATTTTTCAAATTGAGCCTGCTCTTGGTTCCTTTGATTTAAAATCAAATTCATTATATCCATTTCCCGTTCTCTACCTTCTTCATTTGGCAGTTTAGGAGCAGCATTTAAAGCTTGCCCTGGGACACAAACACACTCGGGGCTAGTATGCCCTATGTATTGAAGCAACTATTGAAATAAAATGTTTTTAAAGCCTATTTTTTAACACTAAAGTTAACAAACATATCAAATATTTGATATAACATGATGCATCATTCAAAATATATTTGCACCTAGATTTAAATTCAAGCTTAGCAAAAGAAACATAAGATAGTGAATTTAGTTTGAAGGAGAAGACAGCAAAGTCAAAACTTAAAAAGAAATGCATGATTCCAGACATAAACTCACATCCAAATTTATCATTACATACTTAAAAATAACGATATTCTATGAAATATTCAGTTCATGCACTCCATATTTGCAGAGAATGTAAGAAAGACAAGTCCAATCAGCATTACTTAATCAAGAGTGATTAAATAATTTCTGATATGCAAATCAAAGCACTAAATCATCTGATACTAAATCAAATACTTTGAGCAAAGTGAATAAATGAGAGAATTTCTGCAATACAGCATTGGATTTCAGAGTCTAAAAACTTAAAATAGTTTGTTACAGCTTCAAAGTATTATTTGAGGAAATATGTGAAATAGTAAATCCTCAACCATTTAAAAGCAGGGCAGAGAATCATGGAAGAGGGGAATATATGAATATTTCAAGATGGAAAATCTCTATACCAGAGAAATAATTTCAGATCTAAAGAACTGCTGTAAGAAGGCCTGTTCAAGGTCATAAGTGAATAACAACTGCTTCTCAACGCTGGTATCTGAAAATATTTGCCCATTGTAACAAACACGTTTTCAACAGCAGATCTCTGATTGGCCAGAGATATCAGGATGAGGTCTTAGAGCCTTATGTAAGATTTTAGGAGATGCTTAGGGATCTGACTTTTTACTTATGGATCACAATGTTTGTCCACATTGACATGAAACCTCATTGGCAAATTCCTTGGAACAGAAGACAAGTCTATGGCCAGCAAAAACCCCTCATCTTAACCTGGTAGAGAACTTACACGTAGGTCATTCTGAAATTTTTGAAATACACGCAAATGATAAGTGGCAGAAAAAAAAATTAACAGTTAGATTTAAAAATATGAAATGTTTTAGCCTAGCAGATGATTTTTTATTGGCCAATTGCAAGTAGAATAAATTTTAGGCAGAAGAAAAAATGGAGTTGATGCAAGAACACTATCGTGCTAGGATTTTCTATGATTTTAAAGTGGGATTAAATAAAGAAAATACATTAAATGTCTACAGTTAGCATTTGGAAATGAAAGTTCAACTCATGCTACTGTATTCAGATGGCTGACAGAATTTCACAAAGGTTGCAACTCTCTTCAGAATGAAGAACACACAGGAAAGCTGTTGTCAGCAGTAATCCTGGATACTGTGACTGCCATACGGAAAACGTTAACTGATGATAATCGCTACACCTACTAAATGATACAGAAGAAACTTAACATTGAATCTGCTTACCGTACATAAAATTATTTATGAAGAATCGCATATAAAAAAAAAATAGTTTGCCATTGGATTCCTCATAATTTAACTGAGCACCAAAAAGAGGAGCATATTAGAATCAGTAAAGAAACCCTCAAATAACATAAAGATGGTGGCCACCCCATTATTTCTAAAATTGTAACTGGCAATGAAACACACATATTTTGCGATGTTCCAACAAGACAAGAAAGTAAAATATGGGTCTTTGAAGATGATCCCACACTCACAATGGTGAAAAGACAACATGCCAAAGAAAAAGTAATGTATGCCCTTTTCTTAATTACAGGACTGGTCATATGTAATGTAAGCCATCAAGCTGGAAGGACAGAAGATAGTCAGAGATAATTGGTACACCACTAAGAATCTTCCAGAAGTTCTGCAAGAAGTGAATGGCAAAGGACTCATGATCCAGCATAACAAATTCTCTTCTCATTCAGCAAGATTGACAATTGAGTCTCTAAAACACATCAAACTGATAGAACATCCACTCTATTCATCTGATACAGCTAGCTGTGACTTTTGGCTATTTTTTAATCTAAAACAGAACTTAGGTAAAAGCCATTTTCATTCTGAAGATGAAATCGATGAGGCTATATATGCACTTTTTCATCGATTCCAAGAAATGATTGGCTTGAGGCATTTAATCTTTGGAAAATTCACCAAAGGTGCTTTGATGCTGAAGTAGACTACTTTGAACACTCCTAATGTTCTGTAAATATAACTTTAAAAACTTATGTGAATCTCAAAAATTTCAGAATGACCCTCAGAGGACTACCCTGGAAAAGTAGTTGCATGGAGCCATGTGATTTAATTTTTTTTTTTTTTCTGGGTTATTCTTTCTTTTCTGAACTTGGTTATATATTATTTACATAGTATCATCATTTTTACCATTTTATTCAACAGTTTTAAATCATGTGCAGTGCTCTTACATTTTTTTCTTTGTACATACATTATGATATTATGTATTATTTCAAAAGAATTCATAAAATTATAGTTCACAGTTTCTGAGAAACACATTTCATGCATGTAAGATAATTTTGGATGTGAGTGTATTTACCTATGCATGCAATAAAATTAACAACATTAACTTTCAGTCGTAAAGTAAAGCAATAAAATACATTTGAGAATAAAAATATTACAGACATCTACTCAATAAAAAGTAGCTATTGTTGATTCCTATACAAAGGTCCATACATGAAGCTTTTCTCACTCCATATTGTTTTAGCATAAAGAACCAACAATTTAAAAAAATTTTCAGCCACATGCTATAACCACTCAATAAAATTAATACAGTTACACAAGGATAACAATTTAGGCTGTCATACATAAAAGGATACTTATATCCAATAAAGTTTGAGCTTCAAAAATCTGAAGATGCTTAATAAAGGAAACAGGTGTAGTGTTTCCTCCATTATAAAATTGTTTCTAGATAAAACAATCCCCCCCCCAAAAAAAAACTGCTTGAATGATCAATGAATATTTTGAACTGTATTTCTTCATGACTAGGGCTTCTGACCTATATTAGAATACTTATGACAAAAATAGTAATTTAGCAAATTCTGACATTAAAAAAGTATTATACAGACACAAAAATTTATCATAGTCACTAATAAGAAAAATGTGCTTGGTATTGTGAAAGTCTCAAAAAATTCTTCCCACACTATGCAACTGCACTGGCTGCAGTTAGTGTAAAAGCTTTTTGCTAAACAGATTTTCATTTATCCATATATGTAATAGCATCTTGTTAGATCCTACTTCTTTGGCATAAGAGGTGTAAATTTAGGAAAATATCTGGAAACAATCTAGATATTGTAACTTTAAGTTCAGAATTATTCAGTTCAGGCCCCCTTTCAAAATCCCCTTCATTTTTAGATTACAGTCCATGCATTCAAACATCAAAGCTCACCTAAAGTACTGCAAAGTTCAACATTTCTTCTATGTCTTCAGTGTCTAAATAATTAATACCTCGGGGAAACAAAAAAAAAAAAAAAAAAAAAAAAAAAAAAAAAATGTAGTGTAACAAAATGATGTAATTCTACACTAATCGAATCAACTTGGTAGATAGGAAAAATTACCCAGAAACTGCAAAAAACAAAACCAAGAGTTTATATATTTTTTTAATATTAATACATAATGATTAGTTTTATGGCAAGTAAACTCAAATGTCTCTCATAAAAATTAATCTGAAAAGCTTTAAATCTCTGCTTAAGCTAAAATCAAGCATTATTGGTTAAGTGGACTTTTCAGGTTCATTCGAACAGACACTGAAAAGGTCTAAAGATATTCCAGGCATAGTAGTGATTTTTGAATAGTGCCAGCAGAATGTACTTCACATAAACATTAAATAATCCTCGCCAAGCAAAATACTTTTTTGATTGAGTCATTTACTTAAGTTTTCACTAGCAGTAGGTTCATTACTGATTTGAACCACTAGCAACTCAACTTGTTTGAATAGGCTACATATTTCCAGTACACTAGAACCAATTTCAATGATTTTCAGCTTAAGAAACAAAAAGAACTTAGCTACATGATGTCATTAACAAGGATATTATGTACCAGAATAATTCAAATAGTCTATTAATTTAGCATTTAATAATTCAAACAGACTCTTCTTACATTTACAATAATGGATGTCTTTGCAGACTTCAATTTGTTAAGTAGTGGAGAACTAATTTTTCTATTATAGAACTTCCTTCCTCAAGGAGAAGATAATGCATACTTTTTTTTAAATAATATATAAAATAGTGTTTTTAATTTTTTAACACTACTTTCGAATTATTACAAAAAATTATAGCTTAAACCAAAATACTTGTTAATATTCCAACATATTTTTATGTAATTTACTCATCTATTCACTCTATTCACTATTTTAGCAAAGAAATTCCCCTTCCTCACTAAAAACTGATCTTCAAATGCTATCTCAGCTACTACAAAACACAAGATTTATTTTGTAGAGAATTATTATGAATTTATAAATTAATTACTATAAAACTCAGATATTTCTAAGTTTTATCACATACATCATCTAAATTGTCAAGATCATCAGCGCTGTTTTCCGCTGTCGGTAGTTCATCCTTCGGTCTATGCCGAAGTGCATGACTAGATAAAGAACTTGAAAGGCCACTGATATTAAGGCTAGATGTTGAAAGAGATCCCTGAGGAATAGTTAAACTTGAAGCAACACTAAAAGAATCTGAAATTAAAAAAAATTATGTTTAATCATACCATTAATAATATATCCAACATTTCCTATATGCATATTTTTATTGATAATATAATAAAAATAATAATCAAGTAATTATATTTTAACATTCATATAGAAACTGAATTATGGATTGATAGATGCATGAAAATATGAAAGAACAAACTTATCATGCAACAGTTCTGTGTGTTTCATGTAATTCAAATACAATAAAATTGAAGCGGATACAGCAATTTTCAGAACATAATTTTAAGAAGGGAAAAAATTAATGAAATGCTAAGTTTTTATTAATTTAATTATTACTTCATGAAATACTTCTGGAATTTTAAGGTTTTTCAAAACTGAAACCTTTTAAATATATTTAGAAGATCTATGACTTAACAAAACAATAAGTTACATCGAAAAAGGATTACTGAAGGATTATATGTGAACGATAAAATTAATCATTTCCTGTTACCATACTTTTCAAATGAAATTAATCAAGCAAGAGACCATACTGAGGGCTGTCAACCTACATAAATTAACAATTATTAAATTAACTGCTCTATGACTCAACTGCCACATCGAGCATGATTCTAACATTTTACATGTCATATTAATGATTTTACAAATATACAAGAATAATTATTTTACAAACCTTTTTTCAAAGTTTAGAAAATTATAATTTCTTTGGTTAATATTCCATTGTTGAACATAAAAACTAGTGTATAATTACATAACTTAGAATTCCATCAAAAAAATTACTATTACTCAAACAGAAGTGAAATTCATTGTCACTGACATTTTACTTTCTACATGACTTTAATGCAACAATCTGAAAACAGCTAACCAGCCAGATTTTTTTTAAGCAAATTAAAATTTTTGCATTAACAAAATAATAAAAAAAAAATATTTTTAAATTAAAAATTTCACTTACTAAATAGTTATCAAAACATACATAAATAATAATAATAACAACACAAAGAAAAAATCCAAATTTACATTTATTTTCTACCTAAAATCTAAAACTTAATACTTGCAAGACATTTTCCTAGATTACACTTTGTAATTCAAATATACTGACAACAAATACAGTATTAATATTTCAGACTGGAATTTATTACAAATAATTTTAATATCTTAATTATTCAAAAACACCTTGCTTTAATTTAAACTAAAAATAAAGAAATTATGAAAAATTTCGAAGTTTCCACAGAAAACACAGTTACATTATTTGTTCCAAAATGTTGACAAGACACCAAACTTGGCAAAGCATAATAAAAGGATTTATATTGCTAAAATAGAAAAAAAGGTTGTTTTTAACGCAACAAGAACAAACTTAAATGTAACCTGAAGGTTACTTTAAATAGAAATCTGGTGCAAAATCCAAAACTTATACAGTCAAAAGTCTTTAATCTGGACTCGTCGGGACTTCGGCAATTCCGGATTATTGATTTTTCTGGATTATAGATCATCAGTTTAAATCTGGTAAGATGGCATGCAGAAAATATAAAATTAAAAATATTAAAAATATGAAACCGTAATTTATGAAATAAAGAACAATTATGATCTAAAGGGTATCAAAATTTACAAAAAAAAAAAAAATAATAAATAAATAAAAGCTTAATATTTATTTGTTTACTTTATTAAACATTTCTTTCAATGTAAGTTGTTTAAGTTGCTTCATTTTATATGATAATACTTTCTCTTTAATTCTATAATCAGACATGATTTCTTGTTCAGTTACAAAGTTTCGCCGTTCAAGTCCTATAATTGCTGTGTCGAGAATACTGACTAATTTGACAAATGAAATTTTTTTTTTCAATAACCTCTGTGTCACTTTCTTCACTATCGGAAGCGAATTATAATGATGAGGAATTTGATTTAAATCATATCAAAGACGGAGTACATCGAGATAAAATATTACATTTAGTAAGGAATTATAAGCCAAATAAAATAAAAACATCTGCTCTGAAGATAAGGATAGTGCTGACAGATCAACTTCCAATGCATTGCCCCCAGCCGCAGAGCAGCGTGAAATTGATAAAGAGATTTCGGAATGGTTAGAGAAACAAAGGATATGCCTTTATCCATTTTTTGCAGCAATTCCACTTTTCGTTTGATGGACATCAAAACACACTTTCGCTTTGTAGATCCTTTTGGCAGCTCCTGCATCAGAAATTCTAATTGACATAATCAAAAGTTCAAGCTTATTTTTAAAAAACTGCTCTGCAAAAAATAATAAGCCGGATCCAATTCGAAGATTAAGGAACAACGTAATCTGCAACATTAACTGAAATAGATAATTAGATAATTTTAGCTTATCTTATACCGTCCTTTATTCATTAAATGCGCACGCATAAATGTATTATGTGCATGCGCACACGCATATGCGTATGCATAAACGCCTATGCGTGTGCGTGAATGCATTATGCATTGACGCATGCGCAGAAAGTTTGTAGCTTTGAGGTCCGGATTAACGACTTTTGACTGTATTGCAAAATTTATAACAAATTAATTTCATATGTAAGATCTTAAAGCTAGACCTTCAATTAACATACACTGCTGGCCATACAAAATGCAACACATGAAGGAAGTATCCAAACAGCATGAAACTTGTATAATGTGTATACTGTGATGGAATACGCAAACGACTATGATTTCAGTGCACGTGCACATGATGGGCGACTGCAGTGTTTCTTACAATCTGTATATTAAAAGGAGTAAAGACTGCTGTTTTGAATAATGTGAATTGTTCTCTTGTGAGATTTTTTAATTGTGCAGTTTCAATACAGTTTGTTTCAGTTTATTATGGCAAAGCACACTAGGGCTACCTGCCAAAGGGAAAAAATTCCTTCCTGGAGGACTATCTAGAGGAAATTGGCATGTATACAAGTTACACATGGGGGGGGGGGGAAACCATGAAAACACCCATGCAGCCAGCCCGCTTGCTTGGAACCGGTCAGACACCAATTTTCAGTGATTTTACCCCTCGGCCGCTGGTGGGCGTAATTTCAGTATGCCTCTTAGAAAAACACAAGCTTCATTCGAGCATGTTTCCGAATTTGACCTGGCCAGAATCCTTGCATACAAAGATTGCAGATTATCTTCTGGGACACTGTTCTTCATCTTGGACACAGCCAAGCAACAGTCACGCAAACATGGAATCAGTAAATGCAGGTAGGAATGACTGAAAACAGTAGAAATTACAGCTGCTCATTGCACCACTACATAGGAAGACAGGAAAATTATGTGCCTGGCACTGATAGACACGCAACCATATCACAATGAATGCAACAGAACAATCAATGTCTTCAAGAACACTTTGATGTCATTTATAATACAATGGCTGTCCTAGTTTATGTTCACTGCCTTACTAACCAGGATTGGTTGCATGCATGAACATGAGACAACGAGTATAGATGTTGTTTTGGACAACTGCCTCTCCTGAATGGTAAATGTTGGAACTCACGAGAAAGGCTGCTTACTTATTCATTTACGGTTGCCCAGTGTTAAGTGGGGGTCGTTTCGGCCCCAAGGCCTCTAATCATTCGCTTTACCGGATGAGACTGAATCTCGAGCGCCAGCTATCCTGAGGGAAACTTCGGAGGGAACCAGCTACTATTTCCTAGTGTGGTGGTAGATCTACGATCGCTTTGCCGTTCAGTACTTTACGGGACCTCAAGAGTTTCCTCTTCCTCGACTGCTGGAGCCATTCAAAGGACATCTACACAGCTCATGTCAAGCTTCTCTAGCCGCATATACTCGGCCTGGCCTACCCATTTTTCAGATCTATCACCCATTGAATATGTCTGGTCAGTGATTTGAGAGCACCTGGCCTAGCATGCCGCACCCGCGGATACACCAGATGATCTTCAGTTATTGTGCAGCATGCTTCAAAAATGCATGCAAAACTTCTTACATTTAATGCCACAGCGTATAGCAATGATCATTGACAAAAGTGGAGGCAAAACTCATTACTGATTTTTTTTGTCTTCCTCTCTTCAGAGACGGCTGTATTTTAACTCAATTGACAATTATACGTGTTATATCGGAAATAAATTTCAGTTTGATATTCTTGGCCTTCTTTGTGTTGCATTTTGGATGGCCACCAGTGTATTTGCCAATTCCCGAAATTTGGAAAATATATATTAATTGCAGGTTTATAAATCTTGCTAGTGTTTTTAGTTCAACAGAAAAATTAGTCAAGAACCAACCACCATTGTCCAAGTTTCATTTAGAGGGGAGAAATTTTTTTTTTTAAATTTACTGGGCATTTCTTATCCAAAGGAATGTTTTAGATGTTACCCACTGTCCCTGGTGGTGTTAGAGCAAGGATAATAGAACTCTCAGCATAAATATGTGATCATGCCCAGATTCAGATTACTTAAATGGCACATTTTTTTTTTTTTTTTAAAAGCAAACTCCTCCTTTCTGAGTGCCTTATACATGCCTTTTGTTCCCTTCCTTTGAAGAATTTTTTGATTTATTCCTAATACAGTTTAGTAGAATGATCTTTATGAAGTCTGACTTCTGATTTTCTTACAAATCACTTTTTATCATTAGTAGGTTAAAAATTGATCATAAAGTCAAGGATGAAGGCCAAGAAACTTTGTTCAATGCAGATAACATTTTTGTTGATCATATCTGTTTTAAAAGCCTACGTGAACAACCAATCAGGCATCCTGAAACTTTCATTACAGGCTGGCTGGTTATTCTCTGTTATTTACAACAACAATCTGCAATGGCTCCATTTAAAAGCCACATGGTTTGAATTCTACATTAATACAAAATGTTAATCCATACTCAGAATGGCAATTAAAGAAAACAGATGGATATCAGATAATCAAAATCCAGAACCGTTTGCAAATTTTAGGCAAAATTAGGGATTTTTAAGGACCAAAAATTGTTTCCAAACATCTAAGGACATTTAAGGACTATATGAACCTTAAATTATTAACCTCCTTCTGAAATAAGAAATATGAACTTAATCATGGATCTCTTTGTATCAAACTTAATATATAAATCACTTAGCAAACAATTCATAATGTACTTTATTCAAAGTTAATAATTCATATGAATAACTTAGCAAACAATTCTACTATTTGGTTAGTATGTGCATATGAATAACTTAGCAAACAATTCATAATGTACTTTATTCAAACTTAATAATTACACCAATGATAAGAAAATTTTATTTGGTTATCATTCTAAATTTATCACATATTTTTATTGTGAAATAAAACATAATATTTAGGAACGGAAAAATAAAAAATAACTAAATCAACTTTTTTTATACAGACTTACAGAATAGGATTAGGAATTATCCCAATAACAATATATCATTCAAAACTGATTAATAATGTATTTCTTCATATTATCCTCTTGGGCTTTACAATACTGTGGGCATAATTTTGTTACTTGATCATGGTAATGCACATAGAAGCTATTTGCTCTATATAAAATACTTTCATAAAGGACTTAAAAAAAGGGGGAGCCTCTTATTCACATTACAAGCAGAAGAAAATCACAAAACTATCATCCAGCATATCAATTCATTGGGGATAATGCCCTGAATTCAACAATCTTAACCAGTTGGCTGCTAACAATTATAAATTTTATGATTCTGAAATACATAATCTGTATCCAAAAATTCCTCAGATTAGCTTATGTTTGATGCAGCCCTTTGTAGCACATACTATGCAAGGAACGGAAAACCTATACTAACCAAATAGTAGTATAGGTTTGCACTCACAGCTTTAGTGAACTTCAAACTTCATAAAGCATAATACCAAACAACACCACTGTATTAACATCGGGAATTGCTTTGTGGTGTTTTTGTGATCATGTGTATGCTGTTTACTGCAATTACATTATAAACTGAAATTGGAATGAGGAGCTGAAATGAAATTTTGCATTAAACAAGGCAAATCGACCACAGAGAAAATGAACATACATTAGTAAACTTACAGCAAGATGCGATGTATTGTACACAATATTTTGAATGGTACAAATGTTTCAAATTCAGAAGAACGTCCTTTGAAGTTGATAAGCAATCTGTAAGACCTTCTGTGAATATCACCCCCAAAAAATATGGAATGAATTCATGATTTGTGAATGTGGACTGCCAGAGAATGATCAATGGACACCGCAGACAATTTTGAAGTGTTGTACAGTTCAATGTGGACATTTTTAACATCAGAAATGGCCACTGCCTAATATGTCTCCTAACTGTGGTCTTCTGAGTAGAAGGAACATTAAATCACACTGTGCCAAGAACTCTATGAATATGCTGCAAATAATCCAGCCTCCATATCCAAGATCATCAGTTGTGATACAGTCTTGGATTTATGAGTACCAGCCTAAGATAAAGCAGAGTCGTCAGAATAGAACACTCCAGTATCTCCATAACTAAGAAATGGACAGAATGAGAACAACCTAACAAAGGATCGTGCTTATCATGTTCTCTAACATCTAGGATATTCGCATTGTTTACTGTGAATTTGTTCCAATCAGCCAGACTATCAATACAAAATTTTATTGTACAGTTCTGTGGCTTTTCAGGGAAAACACCAATTGAAAGTGACAATATCTATGATGTATGAAGAACAAGATTTTCCATGACAGCAATGCATCTTGTCCTTAAGCATTCCTTATTTACAAATTGCACATCATACATAGTTTGAAAAAATAAGTGTTCCAAATGATCAGTTCTTTCCACTTGCAATAAAATTAAACATAATGATGAGGATTCACTGAAACAAAATTTAATTCATCAAAAACAATATAATAATATTTTTTACAAATAATTATAATAATAATGTTGTACATACCAATATCAGATGAGCTTAAATAAAAATCTGGTGGACCATACAAAATTGTTCCATCCCAGGAAAATTTTCCTCCTAAATCTCTAATTATAATACGAACTTGAGATTTTGATGTTGTGAGTCCTGCGGTTGCTCCACCACCAGGCATATCCTAAATGTGCAAAGAATGCAAAATTACATATATCAAAGCAGATAACTTTACAAAGATGAACAAAAACACTATAAACTTGTTTGCTTTTAAGAGGAAGCAAAAGAAATCCTTCATATAAAAACAAATATCATTAATAAAGACCTATAAAATTATACAATTTAATTGCATATCCTCACAATTTTTTTTCTTCAATGATATCAGTTATGAGGACCCACATTATTAAAATTTAAACAAGCAAATATGGCATTGTGCCCTTTACTTTCATTACACATAACTAAACATAAAATTTCATGCATTGTTTAAACTTTTGTATAAAAATATCCTGTAAGAAAGGAAAATTCAGGAATTTTTTATGCATTAATTGAGCAATGTTCATTTATTGAGTTACTCATACATTTTCCTATAAGACTGATTTCTTAAAGCTTATTTTACTACTAATTATGTAAAATAATTTATCAAATTTATTTACCATCAAAGTTATAAATTTCATATTTCTTCAATGTAAATTTAAATGTTACTAATTTAGTTTTGCTTTCATTACTACATAATATCTGCATTTAGCAATTTTCATCTCTTTAATCTATCTCATCCAACATAACATTGTTTTTTAAAACTCAACATCAAAAACATTAGAATAAAAACAAGTTTAACATCAGTTATATAAGAATGAAAGGTCAGACATATTTTTAAAAGAAAAAAAGTTTGACATACTCATACTTAACAATCTATAATTATATATTATTTTTACTTTTAGAAACTCAAGATTCTATAAATTTAAAATGCAAAATAATTGTACAACATCTATTAGTTTGAATATAATTTTGTAAAAGTTCATTAATTGAAGTCTTCAAGAAAAATCCTCCTCCCATTCCTGTAATAATGACCCAGCCAACAACACTGTATCTTAATATGACAAACTTATATTGAAGTGGTGATTCTTCAAGCTCATCAAAACATTATAAGCTGAATAGGAATTAAATTTGTTCATATGAAAAATAAAGCAGGTGAGTTTATACAATCTTTTACCATAGTTTTTAAAACTTAATAGTGGTGCATGATTTATATGAAAATATGAGCATAATATACTTTGTAGGGAGATTAATTAAAAAAAGAAAAATTTAAGATAACTAATGTTGTCATAATTCAGAACTGCTGTAAGATACAAGCTTTTTGTTTTATAGCAATAAACTAACAATTTCAAATTATTAAAACCCTAAAATAAAACAAATTTTACCAAAGCAGGAATCTCAACAAATGAAATTATAGAGCTATTGTTCAAAACAAAGAACTGGATATTTGGAGCATGGAAGACTTCCACAGATAGTTCATCTCCGGTCAATGTTGGAACATCATCATGTTCATTAACGAGACTTGTCAAACGAGAAGCACCTATTCCCATAGGAAAGTGTCCCAAATGATTTATCAGATGATGCATAAGCTGGAATAAAAACATCATTCTCATCTTAATACAATAAACAAAAAACAAAAAAATGTTACATGATTTTTTTCATGCTATGACCTTCTTGTAAAAATTGCACATCAAAATAACTCTATGAACACTTAATACAATATGTAAAAAAAATCAACACGAAAAAAGGGTGCAAAAACAAAAATTTACATTATTTTTTGAATGAACAATAACTACATATATTTTCACATGACAGATATTATATATTAAATTTTAGTATAAATCTTGCAGTGCTGACTTGATTGAAGTTAATTACATTATATCAATTCACTTATTACAATAAAATCCATGTTAGATTGATAAACTTTCAATACAAATTTAATTAATTTCATATGAAATAACTTGAAGATTAAACAAAAAAATTACTAATATAATTTACTTCATTAAACATTTATATTACCCTCCACATTATAATAAAGGGTGATATTACTAGAACAAATACACAAAAATAATTAAGTACATACACTGCTAATTTCAAAATGAAAGATGCAACTGTATTTCTTAGCAAATGCACAAAAGAAATACATAAAAGCTTTCATTCAAGGGGGAAAAAAAGAACAGATCTGCTGAATTATTTCATTAGCATATGATGTACAAGTCTCTTCTTGCTATGTTTATATCTCTAAACACATAAACATAGTTATGTTGCGGATGGATACATATATGAGTTTATACCTCATAGTAAATGATTTTGAGGAACTCTCATATAGTTTAATTATCTAGAGAGAAGGACTTTTCTTAATTACTAGATGGGTTCATAGCCCATATCGAAGAATTTTTTGAAACTCAAGGATAATATCATAGCCTACAGTGAAACATTTTCTGGAATTTTTTACTTTAATAATGATGGATTTTTTTTAAGCACACATAGGATACATCATTTTTAAAGTAGTAATTTGATTATTTAAAAAAACACTTTTTCAAAACATTATACAGAGCATTTTAAACTTATTTATAGATTTGGATTAAATTATTTTTCCTATTTGGAGATAAAAATGCCAGGAAAACTAACATAAAAAAGGCTTACCTCCTGTAATTTCAAGTTTGATTTTTAAAAAAATTATGCAAATACTTACACTTTTGGCAGCTAATCGAATAACAGCATTATTATCATGCTGCTGTAGAGTTCTAAAAAATGAACTATCAGCTGATCGTGCTTTTTCTGGACTCTGCAGCGTTCTTGGTGGTACAGAAGGTGTAGGTGTGGTGCCTTCTTCAAAATTTTCAATTTGAACATTAGGATCAACATCTGGAGTTGACAATTCAGTTAAAGACTGCGTACTTTGAGGAGCATCTGTCTTTTTACCACTTACAGCTGTATTTAAAACCTGAAATGAGAGGCAAATAAAAGTAAACAAAATATGATTTTACAAATTTTAATTAATATATATTTCTATAAATATCTATTGATCCATTCTTTCAAAATTAATTAAATATCCAATACACTTTCAGCTAAGAGAACTCATAACAGTCAATGTAAAGCATATTACATACACTGCTGCCCATCCAAAATGCAACACCATAAAAAAACGAGAGATACCAAAGACATTTTGCAAGAATGTCTTGAACACACTGATTAAAAATTCTCTTTAACAATCAATGGATCTTGACCAGCATGAGCACTAAAGCTGAGCAGTACAATAACCTACAGTCCTAATTCATGTGCTGTAAAATACTAACATGTGTTGGTATGGAATTACATGTACCGTAATTTCCGGAAGAAAGGGTGCATCGGCGTAAACGCCGCACTCGAGAAAAATGGCGGGGAAAAAATTAAAATTACACAGAAGTGTCGCAATAGATTTAATTGCGCGTGACATCGTCGTGGGCCGTATAGATGCAAAATCTCAACCTATGTCCTGATATATGACATATCAGTTAAGAAAAATGCATGAAATGAAACCATAACTCAAAAATAAATTAAAGGTAAGAAATGTTGAAAATATATTTACGTTCACGAATATACTTATATTTACCCATTAAAGAAGTCCATATTTATAATACTCAGACTAGATTGTAAAAAATGTTGCAACAACAAAATATTAAATTTGGATGACAAAAGGAAATTTTAAATTTTACTTACCAAAGGAACTACAGCAAACTATACATCATATGAAGCCATCAAAATCTGATTCTTCACTACCTGAATTAAAAAGACTTAGTAAATCCTGATCTAAGTCTTCCAGATCATCACATTCATCCTCTTGGTTTGCAGTCTCTTTATCTAAGGATATAATTTCAGCTTCTTTAAACCCTGCTATTATTGACGATGTTTTTACCGAATTCCATGCACTTTCTACCCACTTTGCAACTTCTTCATAAGATGCTCTACGCATTTTATCGCTTTTGGTATACATATGCAATCCTTGACTCATCCAACACTCCTACCGCTTTCGAACTTCAGCTTTGAAGGATTTATTAGCTGACAAATCTAATGGTTGTAAGATTTTTGTCAAACCACCAGGAATTATTGCTACGGTTGTAGACAATTTTTGATATCTGGTTTTCACTGACTCAAGTAAATGAGCACGCATCGAATCCATTGTCAATAACTCTTTTGGTTGGAAAAAAGATCCCTTACGACACTGCCAAACTTTTTTGTAGCCACTCATGCATGATTGTTTCGCACATCCAGCCGTTCTCGTTTGCACAAATAATTACGTCATTAGGAAAATCTCCCTTCGGAATAGCTTTTTTTTTAAAAATGATCATCAGCTTTAGCTTGTCACCATTTGCGGCACAAGCTAACACACATGTAAACGATCACACATCATGCCCCGTCATAAGCACAGATACAGTTTTTGCACCAGTTTCATCAATAGTTCTGTTTGCAAGAGAGTCGAAAGCTAATGGCATTTCATCCATATTTATTGTCTGTGACCAAAGATTTTTTTTTTTTTTTTTTTTTTTTTTGTCAATAATATCTGTCACATATTTTAGAAAAGATGCCTTTTTATCCTGCCAGTCCATTGGTAATTGTTGCCCGACTGTGTTCTAGTATGCCCAGAAATATTTTTTCTTTTTATAAATCTGCTACACCAGTAAGGCCCTCTTTTTGAAATCATTTATGTTCATTTGCTTTGCTATAAATTTTGTTTGTAAGCCAATTTTTACAGTCGAAATTGCCATTCCCTTTAATTGTTGCTCCTTTATCCAGTTTGCAAGGTCATCCTCTAGATTCGGCCACCTTACAGTACCACTTCTTTTGGCTCGTTTCTGTTGTGGCATATTTTTAAGTTCTTTTTCAGTTCTACAACGTCGAATACAACGTTGAACTCATCCACTTCAAACTCTCGAGCTGCTGCTCTATTTCCAATTTGTTCAGCAAGTGAAATTACATTAAGCTTAAAATCAGCAATATAGCTTCTGTGCCGTTTAGGTGCCATTTTCAAAAATTTTTCGCTCCCTTCTTACTTAAAAACTATCCAACATATACTTGTACCCAAACTGATTGGATCTGTATCTGGCAGAATGCCAAGAAAAATCGATTCATGCTGAAGAGGAAATACGTCAGAGTTCGTTATTGCAAGGCAGGTGGAGTCGTGTACGCCTTTGAAAAAATTGCAGAAAAGGCAGGGGTGGGGAGAGGATGGGTCCTGGAAGATTCATCAAATAGCAGAGAAGACTATTCAAAATGATGAGAATGCTGATTTGAAAGGGGGAAGAATGTTATTGTTCTGAGATCCTGTTTAAGGTGAATAAGGCATGTAGGTCCATTCAAGGGAATGTAAACAAAATAACGTTCGCAAAAAGCAACCGAGTGGTCTTTTGTGTAGAAACAACTGAGTGGTCTACATACAATGACAAGACCATCCAAACTATGTACAAAGTTATTCAAACTATGCACAATGACCCTCATAAGAAATATTTTATTTTTAGTGCACCTAAACGCCGAACCCGCTGAAAAATTAAGTTTTAAACACGGAAACGCCGCGGCGTTTCTTCCGGAAATTACGGTAATATAATCTCCTACACACAAAAAAGGGGGCAAATGTGATTTCTAAACAGAAAAATGGCATTTTAATCTGCTTTTTATATACTGCATAGTCCGAAAGCCCAATACCTGGAAAGTATAATAATCAGAACTCCAGTAAATTTTTTTTTTTTTTTTTTTTTTTTTTTTTTCCTCTTTGAATTTGTTTCTTCCCATACAAGGTCTAGGAATGACTTATATAATATTTAAGAAAAAGAGGAAATACAACTTAAGAGCAAGTTTTCTCTGAACTAGAGATTCCTACATATTGTTAAAATCCGCTGTCGAGACAATTACATTGTAGCCAATGACACAACATTAATTTATGTTGGTCACAACTCTACACCTTTCAGCTTTTGAATGGTTGTGGGGAGTTAACACTTTTCTAGCCAAAATAAATAATAAGCTTCAAGATAGTATTGTTTAAGTGAAACTGTTGCTGATACTGATTTTCTTTTGTTAGAAAAACAGCATGGAAGGGATAAAGAATTAGATTTTGAGTAACTGAAATTCAATATTAACATAACAAATTGCACGCTTTCTAAACTAATTTGATGTAGCTTATTATTATTATTTGCAGGCTTTTATTATTACAGCTGTTCTCAAAACTGATGCCTGAATTTTTTATTATGTCAGAAAGACTTTCTAATTCTGAAGCTGCAGCTGTTTTGATGTCAGTCAAGCAAAAAATAAAACTGCAGGAAAAAATGAATAATGGTATATTCTTGAAATGATGAGAGGAATATGGCACTGGAAAGTCAACTTTATATGGCACAGAACAAGAAAAAAATAACTAAATGGTGCCTGGGTGTTCCACAGTGTTTCTTATTGACCCATTTTGATGAATTCTGCAGTCCTTTATTGTTTTGAATATGTACATCAGTTATAACCAGTATCGTAACTTTGAAATTTCTTGCTGTTCGGTAGAAGGCAGGTTCCAAATTTTAATCCTTTTTTCAAAATGTAAGACAAAAGCAGAAAAAGAGCATTAATGTATAACTTCTTTACAAAACTTAGTCTGGCTTAGTGAAGATCATGGTTACAGATAACCAAAGCGATGAATGAAATGATTTCATTTGACAATTTAGTCAGAATGTTTTGCACAGTAGTTTCAGGGCTTGAACAATGGAACTTTGTAATTGATCAAGGAATTATATTTATTAAAAAGAAAGAAAAAAAAAAAAAAAAAAAAAAGGAAACCCCCCCAAAAGCTTCAACAACATATATTGAAAGATATATTGCATAAACAAACAAACAAATATTTTTTCTGGAGAGGGGCAGGTAAATTTTGATTCAATTGTCATAAATGCTTTATTACTTCAAAAACAGCTACAGTCAAAAGTCGTTAATCCGGACTCGTCGGGACTTCGGCGATTCCGGATTATCGATTTTTCCGGATTATAGATCATCAGTTTAAATCTCGTAAGATGGCATGCAGAAATTCTAAAATTAAAAATATGAAACCGTAATTTATGAAATAAAGAACAATTATGATCTAAAGGGTATCAAAATTTGCAAAAAGAAAAAGCTTAATATTTATTTGTTTACTTTATTAAACATTTCTTTCAATGTAAGTTGTTTAAGTTTTGCTTCGTTTCATGTGATAATACTTTCTCTTTAATTCTATTAAACAGACATAATTTCTTGTTCAGTTACAAAGTTCCGCCTGTTCAAGTCCTATAATTGCTGTGTCGAGAACACCGACTAATTTGTCAATCGAAAATTTTTTCGTTTTCAATAACCTCTGTCACTTTTCTTCGCTATCGGAAGCGAATTATAATGACGAGGAACTTGTTTTTAAATCATATCAAAGACGAAGCATATCGAGATGAAATACTACATTTGGTAAGGAATTATAAGCCAAATAAAATAAAAACATCTGCCGCTGAAGATAAGGATAGTGCTGACAGATCAACTTCCAATTCATTAGGCGCCCGCCGCCGAGCAGCGTGAAATTGATAAACAGATTTCGGATTTCAAAACATACTTTCGCTTTTTAGATCCTTTACATATTAACAAATATATATCGGAAATTCTATTTGATATAATCGAAAGTTTAAGCTTACTTTTATAAAATTGCTCTTACAGTCTGCAAAAAATAATAAGCCGGATCCAATTCGAAAATTAAGGAACAACGCAATCATCAACATTAACTGAAATAGATAATTAGATAATTTTAGCTTATACGTCCATTATACATAAAATGCGCACGTGAAAACGTATTCTGCACTTGCGCACACTCATATGCGCAGTCGTAAAAGGTCTTACGCGCACGCGTAAACGCCTATGCGCATGTGTCAACGCGGCGCATGCGCAGAAAGTTTTTAGTTTTGATGTCCGGATTATAGATCATTCCGAATTATGGGTGTCCGAATTAACGACTTTTGACTGTATTTCATATTCTTAATTTCACAGATTCTGCATGTCATCTTAGGAGACTGAACTGAAGATCTAAGCTCTGAAATTTCCATAATCCAGAACTGTTTCTGGTTCTCAGACCCTGCAATGCTTTGATTTAAGGTAGCATTCACAGTGCATATGATTTTCATATGCTTCATATGCACCACAATGCATGTCATTTCTTGTTCTATTGAGGTCTGCATATGGTGCTAATTTCAAGCCTACTGGCCACTTCCTTTTAGGTGGCCCCAGGATGTTTAATACAGAATGCTTCATTTTTAACTAGTCTGTTGCTCTAAATTTAACACATGTTTCTACATGCACTTCTCCACTGAAATTAATTTCAAAAACAAGATTATTATTTCAAAAACAAGAACTGAATTCTCCATACAATACAGCTTCTTCTTTTGATGCAAACGTTAATAGATAAATGATAAATTGTTTTAAAATATTTTGTAATACAAGACTATCTTTATAAGATAATTATGATTTCAAAATAAAATTTTAAGAGGGAAAAATTCTGCTTTTGCAACTGGATCAATTGCAAATTTTTTTTACAAAACTTCATATTTATAAATTAGCTTACTGCTAGTATATAGCTAATCACTTTAATTTATAGGCCCTACACTTATAAGGTATTTTACTTGACTTACCTATTACTATACTATACTAAAAATAATTTATAATAAATATTCCATTTTTTGAAATGTTCTCTTACCTTAAACACAGAAAATAGTGGTAACCAGTCTTGGTCTGATGACATAGGAGAACCAATTTTAGTGATGAAACACCATTCACCAATGCAGTGTATTAAAGACAAAATCAACTAAAATAACAAATAAATAAATAAATAAAATCGGTATTTTTTTAAAAAAAGGTTAATGCAAACAACTTGTAACTGCTAGAATATAAAATTATTATTATACCTTTTTATCACTTTCAGTCAGAATGACATCTGTATTTGGCAATAAGTTTTCTAATGTTGAAGCTAGTACCTAAAATAAAATATTGAGGAGAAATTACCATATTATAAATATGATAAGAAGCTTTTACCATTTAAGAAGTGTTTTAACATCCAATATGTTCAATAATCATGTTGAAGTTCCCAAATTAATGAAAATAAAATTCAGACATTCTACTTCAATGACAGGCTGCTTGTTTTAAAAATATGAACTTGCTTTAAATATATACAGAATCAACAGCTGGTTAGATATTTACAAACACCCCATATTAGTTCAAAATAACTGTATTACTCAAGCTTATCCTTATCTTTCTAGTTTTCTACACAGTAAAAATCAAGCAATCAAACTACATAATAGATGGAGATAAAATCAAAACTGTATGCAGAACATAACAATTCTACCAACAACTAGTAGAATAGGATTCATTTTAACCACATTTAACAAACACATTGAAAATTTCAGAAAATCTATTTATTTTACATTTACATGCTTATTATACACTATAGTGAAATTTTAAAAACTAAATCTGCTAAGCCTCCATCTTCGATAAATTTAGTTTTTCTGCACATTTCAAACATTTAAAATCACTAAAATTCATACAGAAATCTTAAGATTTTGTCTCACCTCAATAACATTTCTTATGAGATCTGCATAATTTTTCTGCAACTCTTCAGCATGGTCACATAACAAAAGCAGCATATCTGAAGCGACACGAGCAACAGCTTTACAGTTAAACTGAAAACATCAAAAGTTATTTAGTTATATTTCATATAGCATATCTGCGATCATTTCTGTTACTCAACTGTTAATTTTATGTCACTTATATAAAAATGTTAGAAACTCAAAATTAACAAAGAAAGTTTTAAATATATTAAATTTTAAAAATAATGCCTCAGACCAATGCACCTCCCCAAAACAGCATATAATACTATTATATGGAATGCTTCTAAACTAAAGTTACAAATATTAAGGAGTGATAGAGCACTATGAAATAAACACAGTTCATTACAGAAACAGCTTGTACCTGTTTTAATGTATAACTTCTGGTTATGCAGTAGATAGCACAATCAACATCTGGTTTTAAGTACAGCAGTTATGCAGTAAATAGCACAATCAACATGCTTATAAAAATGGAGGTTTTCACAGGCAAGCTCATCAGCCACTGAGAATGGATCAATATATAGGGCTGATAAGAAAGTATCAGATTGACAAGTTTTTTTAGTATGAAAGAAACTCAGTATTTTCTATACAAAATAATAGCTTTGATAAATCAAATATCCTTCATTCTGTTCAATAACCTTTGGCTATCTTTCTGGTAATTTCCCGATTTTGCTCTTATGATTTTCCGGTCTTTATTCACGAAAAAACTGAGCTAAGTGTGATTTGAGGTCATCATTATTACTGAAATTTTTACCACTTAAAAAGGTTTGTAAACTTTGAAATAAATGAAAATCCGATGGTGTGAGGTTGAGGCTATATGCAGCACATGACATCACTTTTGAACCAAGTTCGAACAATTTTGTATGTGTTGCTGAAGATGAGTGAGCCCTTGCATTGTCATGGTGGAACAAAATTATTTTGCAATTTGCCAATTCTGGCCTTTTCTCTTTGATTGCTTCCCCCAGTTCATAAGTTGTTGGCAGTAAATATCCGAGTTGATTGTTTGTTTGCTTGGAAGCAGTTCAAAATATACATCACTTCTGTAATCCTACCAGATTGACATCACAATCCTTTCTGATGCAATTTAGCTTTCAATATGATTTGTGTCGATTCATCATACTTGGAGTATGACCTTCAACCTCTCACACAATTATATGCTGATTCGATTCAATTATAGCTTTAATTTAATCATCATCAACTTCAGAAAACCAGCCTTCAAAGTGCCATTCACCTTCAAGTAAAAAATCTCCAGAATGAAATTTTTTAAACCAATTCTGACACATGCATTCTGTTCAGCAATCAACACCATAAACTTCGCATATCTCTTTGTCAACATCAGCTTCTTTCTTGCCTTCATAAATATAAAAACGTAAAGTATGTCAAAAATGTTTATTTTCACACTCCATGTTAAAAGTGACCATAATTGTTTCTATATCAACCTAAAAGTCTCAACTGCCAAATCTTAAAAAAAAAAAAAAAAAAAAAAAAAAACATTGACAAAAAGATAACAAAATGAACACAATGATATGCATTTCTGCAAATTGAAATTACTTTCTTACCAACACAATACAAATGAAGATAAAGCAGATTATGTATTCTGAGTATGGGTCTGTCTGATAATATGGAATGCTGGCCATATCATAAGAAATGTCTCAGGTAGGATATTAGCCAAACATTAACACTAGAGTTGCAGTATGTCACACAATACTATATGGTAGATTTTACACACTGAATGATCACATCAATATCATGTGCACTGCATACACAAAATTAGCTTAAAGCAGCGGTGCCCAACCTTGTGCTCGCCAGCTCAATTAGGTACTGTGAAAAAAAAAAATATTTTAAAAATAACCATTCATTTATATTTCTTAATTTGTTAAAACATGGTAAGCATTTATAGTCATAAGAGATATCTTGCAAGACCTTATAAAATAATTGATTGCTGACTGATGAACTTGATAGCGAACATGGAATCTTATTGCTTCATTCCGATGTTAGATGGCTCAGCAGGGGAAAAGCACTTCAACGATTTGTAGAACTTCTTTTGTCAATAAAGCAGCTTTTGGAATACAGAAACAAAAATTATAAAGAATTGGACAATAATATTTGGTTATCCGATCTGTATTTTCACATGGATATAACAGCTAAACTGAACAAACTGAATGAAGATCTCCAGGGAAAAGAAATAACGATTTTCAATTGACTGAGACTGTAACTGTTTTTCAGATAAAAGTTATATTTGTGGATAAATCAGATGAAAGAAAAAAATTTCACCCATTTTCAGAATTTATCAGCCATATTAATATCCACAAGGCAATTGAAACAGAGAAATACTTGAAAAACCTAAACACACTGAAAAATAATTTTGAACTCCACTTCTCCAATTTCCATAAAGTTCAACCAATATTATTATTCATCTTGAACCCATTTGCCGAAATTAATATTTCAGATGTATCACATAAGATTGGAAATATGTTTAACGAAAATGCTGATGTTTTGGAAATGTGCTTGCGATAGGCCAAAGGTTGGGGCACCACTGGTTGAGATCATACAACCAACATGGAATTTACATGCAGATTCTTGTAGCAGAATGGAAGGAGCCCAGAATTTCCAGCACACATATTTGTTCATGGATCAAGCCCCATTTAGCCCTAGACATGTCTTCAATACCCAGAATGTGAAGGTTTGAACAAGCTGCAATCTTCATACAACATGAAGCCATTCCTACCAAACGCTATTCATAGTGAATATGTAGACAGGTATCTTTAAAAACTACTTCGTTAGCCCATACCTGTCACTGGATCTTCTGCATGTATTACTTAATATTCCTCCAACAAGACTTACTGAAACTGTTGCAGTGTGTACCACCAGCCATCAATCAGAATATGTGGCTCCAGCATGAGAATGCACCAGTACATTTTAACATGGTAGTGTGCGCTTACTCGCATGCCATGTTTTCAGGTGCATGGATTAGCCATGGAAAATCCATCACTTGACCCTGCATTTACCTGATCCATCTCCTTTTTATGGAGACACCTGAAATTCTTCATATATGAGACTACCACTGAGTTCAATGAGGATATTGTTGCTAGACTTTCAGTAACTGCTGCAGGAGTCCACAATATGTCTGGTATTTCTCAAACCACATGGGAATCCTCATAATGATTATACAAAATCTGCATATAGAGTGAACTTTTGAACAGAATTTGTAAGTGAACTGCATTTCAGTAGTTACTGATACTTATACATGTGATTTCATTTATACCTTTTTTTTTCACTGCACTAACCTGTAATTTCTACATTTCTGATTCTATTGTATTATAAGGTATTTCTCCCACCTTCGTAGCATGGCTTCATAGTATAAGGGTCAGCACACTTGGCATGTATTCAAGAGGTCAGTGGTTCGAGTCCCGGCGAGGGCATTTCTCAATTTTCATCTCTCCTGCTTCTGAAACAGCCTATTGTCTCTACAATATTACCATATCAAGCATTTAGCATTTATTAATGCTTATTTGTCAGGCAGTTGCTGATGCTTATTTGTCAAGCATTTATTGGTGTTTTTCATTTAATCTTTATTTTGATGTTTCAAGCCTTCGCTGCTTTTTCTGAATCAACAGATTGTGTGTGTGTGCCAAAAAAAAAGATGCCCTTTAGTACAAAGCCACTAAACTTGTGTGATCACACATTACAGGGTGAAAGGTGTTTGTTTTGGTATGTTCTATCACCCTTTAACATTTGTTGTATTGGTTTAGAAACATCTATATAATGTTTAGAATGTGACTGGAATATCAAAAAACTATCCTGTAACAACATTTTGTTAATTCATGGGCTGTGTGTCAGTTAGTTCCTGCCGAAATCACTATTTGCTACATTCATTTCATCCCCAACAGACACAAAGATTGTGCAAAATTTATGAACTATATAGTCCAGTGGTTCCCAAACTGTGCACCGGGGCACCCCAGGGAGCCATGGTCTCTTTACAGGAGTGCCACGAAATATTGTAAAAGCTTCATAATTAATTGAATCAAGGTATTTGGCCTAACTAAACAAAAAAGAGAAGATAAAAACTTTTTTTTTTTTTTTTTACTTGACCCTATATAAAACTTAAGTTGCTGGTGCAGAATATTTTTATGAATGGAACGGTAATACTGCCCCTTCTCGATTGCACCATATGATTGCACTGTACATCGTGGCAATCTAACCAGAGAATGTATATAAGGCTAGAACAACTTTTTCACAACTCTCCCCATAAATAAAAATTGCAAACTTTCTTTTTATATGGTTGCTAAGGTTAAGCTTATCATGTTGTTTGATTTGGGTTTGCGTGTACCGACTTTCAATCACTGTTTTTCCCCCAGAGTCAAAAATCCACCATTTTCTTTTCAATCAGATTTCATGCAATTTATGCTCGTCACAGAAATGCCACAAGCTAATCACCACAGCATGGTTGGCAAACCTATAATTTTTTTGACAGAAAGTTAAAAGAACTAAAACAAAAACAAAAACAAAAAAAATTAAGATTGCATCAATACCAAACAAAGCCTGCAGCATCTTACAAGGTGGCTTACAGAATTGTGAAATTAAAAAGCCTTGTACCATCACAGAAGAACTTATTCTACTGGTTGCTGTAGATATGGGGAATATCTAGAATTCAAGAATTATGGAAAAGAGATATAGGATGGGATGAAGAATTAAGTGAGGATTTGAAAGATAAATGGGAGAACTGGTATAAGGACATTCTAAATTGGAAACTTTATCAATAACCAGATGTTATTTCAAAACAGATCTCTCCAAATTACATATTTTTCTGACACTAGTGAATTAGCATGTGGAACTGTCACATTTGTCTACTACAAAACATTAGATGGAAATTCTGAAGTTAGCTTTGTAAAATCTAAATCAAAGGTAGCATCAGTAAAGAAGTTAACTTTGCCACAGCTAGAACTGATGACAACACAGATTGCTGCAAAAATACTCAACTTCTTAAAACTCATTTTCACACAAAGGATAAATACTTTTTGTGTACCAATTGCACAGTAGCTTTCTGTTGGATCTGCGGAAATGCCAAACAGTGG